GCCCCTGCGAGGCTTCCTTCGCCTTCCCACCGAACATCCCACATGCTTTCGACCCCACCCAGGACGGCGGCGGGATGGGCCCAAGACCATTGTAGTCGTTGTCGTAAACCCCCGCGGTTTGTTTCGCCCTCCTCCTCGTGGCCTTCCCAGCTCCAGCCGTGCTTGCTCTGTCACTTTGTACCTCGTATATTTCATTTCAGAACTCCACTTCGTCACCCCCCATCTCAGGGTTCTTCGAATGCTTCCATTGGGCTGTTTTTTTTGTTTTCCATTTTCACAGGGGGATTCTTAGAACTTCCACGAAAACCCCAACACGACCTGCACCATCATGTTCCCGGAGAGCTTTCTGGGAGAGCCTTTTGGGAACATGATGCTCGCCGTCAGTCCGACGAGGAGACCGAATAAGAGGAGGAGGGCCCGCGCAAGACCACCGAACATCCCAAGTCAACGTCGGGTTGCCCGGGGATTCGGTCAGAACGGAGTCCGAGTGGGGTCCGCGGCCCCGCTCCGAGTGGACTGGGGATCGAGGCTGCTGCTTGCAAGCTGCCGGTCTCCGCTGTTTGCCCAACGCCTTCCTGCTGAGAGCGGGCCTCCATCCTCCAGGATCGACGACGGACGTTTGTTTCGGCGTCGGCTCCGACGACGAGCGCCGCCCCCATTACGACGACGACCGCGACGACGACGGCCACGTCGACGACGCCGACAACGCCGACGACGACTTCGTGCTTCATCGTCCTTTGGTCCACATTGTTGCGTTTCGCCTTGGCTTGTATTGCATGGCATTGTCTAGCATATCATATCTTATCATATCCGATCAGATGCTGCATCCGATTTCCTTTCTGTTGCATTGACCATACATTTGGTTTCTGTGGAAAATGCGTTGCGTCGCAGCGTCTCTACATTCGTTGTTTTGCAGGGTGTCGCACGGAAGTATACGGAAGCGTTGTTTCTGGTATTTCGTTGTTTTCCGATTTGTGCTGTTCGTTTCTTCGACACTAGAATTGCAGCGATCTCTGGGTCATGACGTCACTGGAGCCGTGAGCTCGTCAAGAGTTCCAGCGAGCACCATTGCGGCTAACTTCCAGCACTAGATGCTCGTACGCGGCACCGAGCCATTTTTGTTGCGCCACTTCGAGCACGGGCCAAGCCTCCTGCCAGCATCACTGCGTTTACTTTCGAACACTAGATGCTCTGTGCTTCGAGCACGGGCAACTTCCAGCCAGCATCACTGCGGTTACTTTCTTGCACTAGATGCTCGCCCGCGGCGCCGAAACATGTTTTGCTTGCATCCACCATCCTTTCCTCAACCCTTTTCTCCTTCCCTCCGCCGTCTTCCCCCTGCGCCTTTTCTTTGCTAGCTTCGGGATCACGAGGTTCGTAGCGTTGGTGCTGGCGCTCTTCGGCGTGCTCAATACCCCCCAGAGCCGCCCTTCAGACGGCCCCAAGACTCCTAAGACCAAACCCCAAGACCCAACGATCCCCGAAGACTTCTCCCCGTAAACCAATCACAGGCTCCCCAAGGGCACCCAGCCCCCAAGATGTCCCAAGTAGCGCCCGAAGAGGGCCATTAGAGGGTCCCAAGCTGGCCCAGGGCAACCGCAAGATTGCCGCCACTGGAGCCCAAAAAGGACCAGGATGGCCCCCAAACGGCCCAAGAGCGCCCAGAGATGTCCCAAGAAGGGTCGAAGACGGCATAGGAATGCCCAAGGGGACCTAACGTGGCCCGTGGCCCCAAGAGGCTGCAAAACAGTCCCAAGAGGACTCACAACGGCCAGCACCCTCTGGCCCGATTGCTTGTGACCGACTAGAACCCGAAGCGCGCGCAAAGCGCGCGCGTGGTTGTATGCAATCTGTCAGGGTGCCAGGGGCCTGGGACCAGGGCCAGGACACCCTCCCGGAATTTCCCCACCACCACCCCTCGAGGTCCTCCAGAAGCTCGCCTCGGGCATCCAGAGAAAGAGAGCCGTAGAATGTCTCGTGGCCCCACAGACGACACCAAACGTGTCAACCCGACACGCCACATGCGTGCCGCGGCAGCGTGTGTCCGAAGCTGTTTGGGCCACCGATACGAACAGGAAGGAGGAAGATGCGAATCGCCCAGCGTCGCTGACGCCATGGACCGGGGACGTCGAACATCTGCCCATGCGCGCCGTGCCCGCCGTGCGGCCCTCGAGGTGGACGACCCGGAAGAGCAACAGCAGCAGGGGGCAGAGGAGGGAACGATACCCGGGGACCAGGACGAGCCCAGTGCCGAAGGAGGGAGGAGAGCGAGCGACAGGGAACGACCGCGACGAGGAGGGAGGAGAGGAGGGCGAAGCCCGGGCGACAGCCCGAGGGACGAGCAGGAGGGAGAGCAGGCAGAGGAGCGACGCAAGACGGCGGAAGGAGGGACGGCGAAACCACCCCGAAGACAGGCGGGAAGGAGAGCAGCGCCGGCATTCAGGCTTCTAATTCTAATCCCCCTATAACAAATGACTTAAATCACACATCTTAACTCCTCTGCCGGGAAAACTGCCAGAACCAGGAAGAGGGGAGGAGGGAGGAGAGGAAGAAGCAGAGGACTAGGGCTCCTCGTGGTCCGCGGCCCACGTTAGTCTGGCCGCTGACGCAAACGAGGGACGAGCCCCGTTCACCTTCGCCCAGCGCGCTCTGCGCGCGGCGCTCCCTCTCGCCACAATGACGGCGATGCGATGAATCATCTCCCTCCGCACCGTGGCCGGCCCCCGACCCTCTCTGCTCGCCACCGCCGTCGCCAGCGCACGGACCGCTGCGTCCGCGCCCTTCGACATGCCGCCCTGGGCCTCGAACGCGACCGGCCTGAATTGGAGGCCGTGCTCACGGCATCGCTCCTCCGTCCGGTTGCGCTGTCGCTTCTGCTCGTCGTACGCCTCGGCCGCAAGCCCCGGCGCTATGGCCGTGTCCGCCCAGTGCGACGGCCCCAGGGCGTTGATCAAGGCGAAGTCGAAACAGACCTTGTCTGCCCTCACCGCGCGGCTGCCGTTCGGCAGAAACCGTGCTAAGGTGATGTGGAGGATCACCAGCACGTCTGCCAGGCGGTGCTCGTCTGCTGCCTGTCGTGCTTCGCGTGTCCCGGGGTCATCCAGCAGCCCTGCTGCCTCCAGCGTGGGGCGCAGCCCGCCGCAAGCAGAGTTGTCGTAGAAGACGTCTTTGCTCGCATTCTGCACAAGCTTGGCGTCCCCTCCGCTCATGCACGACAAGCAATGCGTACCCCTCGCGTCCAGCGGGGCCGCGCACAGCGGGCACGCGCTGCCCTCATCCAACACATCGACACCGAGCAGGGTCGCGACGTTGTCTGCGAACTCGCCCGCGGAAAGAGTCATGTCAAGTGTCCTGGATGGGGTGAGCTCGTACCGAGTCCCCGCTCCCTGCGCTGAGTGCGCGCTCGATCGAACCCCGTCAGCTGGCTGGCTCTCCTCGCACCATGCCTCGACCGCTTTGCTCCGCAGCTTACCTCCCAGGTAAGCCTGGGTCAACTCTGCCCGGGTCGCCACCCCGAGGGCGTCGCGGGCCAAGGTGGCTGCCAACCTGGCCGCGGCGTTCGCCAGAGGCCTGCCCGACACGCCGTCGTCCCACCAGTGCCCAGGCCGGATGCGCTCGCACAGGTCGTGGGTGGCCGCCTGCGACGCCACGTGCGCGGCGCCCACATCCATCGAGATGCGCCTCACCCCCAGCCTGGCCGCGGAGGTAGCGAAGGCGGCCTGCCTCCTCTGCAACCCTGTCCAACGCTGGCCCGCCGCGGCGGCCGCGTCCACCACCTCCTCGTCGTAAGGGGCGGCGGCGTCCCGCAGCACCACAGCCGGGGTGGTGCGAGCCAGGTAGGTCATCCTTCCAGCGTTGACGCATTGCCTCAGCAGGTAATGCGTGACGTGGGGGTCTCCAAACTCCGCCAGGAACGATAGGATGCCTCCCTGCTTCCTGGCCTGGCGCGCGCAGAAGGCTTTGCAGTACTCCTCCTCTCCGACAGGGGATTTCAGCACCTCGCAGTTGCCGTCCTCGAACACCATCCCCCCCCCCTTCCCTCCCCCATCCCCCATTCTCTCGGCCTGCGACATTTTGACCCCTTCCGGGGCCTCCCAGGCCTCCCCCCCGCCATTCGAAACAGTTCCGGAGGCCATGACCAAACGACCAGAGCGGCCTGATAGGGCCGAAGACGCCCGAATACTGTTTCAAGACGGTTCAAGAGGTTCCGAAGACGTCTTAAGAAGGCTCCTGCGTCCCGAGAGAGCCCCAGGAGACAAAAGTTGTCCCATCCTTACGGCAAATACGCATTTTAGCACATTCGCATTTTGGGTCTCATCAGCGTCCAAACGGCTTAGAAGCCCCAAAGATCACCCCAAGACGGCCCAAGAGGCAAGAGGGCCCAAGAGAGCCCCAAGACGGTCCAAGAGGCGCCCAAGACGGCCCAATGGGGCCCCAAGAGGGATCCAAGAGGGGGAACTCAAACGGACATATCGAGCCTTCCGCTCCAAGTGGCAGACCCTCAAGAGGCCCCCAAGAGTTCAAAAAGAGGCCCCAAGAGGCCCCTAAGAGGCCCCAATAAGCTTCAAAAGGCGCGCCTCGAGGTGCCCGAGAAGCATGCCAACAGACAGGTGTCCAAGAATCCCCTGGCCTAAAACTCAGGCACAGTAGCGACATGAGCCGAAGGCTATAGATCAGCCAGCAATTGGCTTGTGCAGCGCGGGGCGCGGGTCTCTCTTCATACACTTTACGCCGCGGGACGTCGCGGAAATTGTGCTGGTGCGGAGCACGCGTGCACGGGTTCGTTGAGCTCTTTGTGGGGCACGGTCCGCGTGAAGGTGTGCCGAGTAATTCGGATGCCCCCGAGAGAACACGCCCATTGAGGCCGCAGGTCGACCTTGGACTCGACCCGTGCGAGGCATGTTCCGAAATGGGCGGGGGACGCCATGCGAAGCTGTCCATTGGTGCCATAGGTGGAGATTCTTCTGGGGCATGATTCGCGTGACGGGTGTGCCAGCAAGGTGGTGTTCCTTCTGTGTACGATTTGCGTGGTGGGGTGTGCCGGAATGGGCGGAGGGGCGTATTGCGAACCGTACCTTTGGGGCCATGGGTGGAGATCCTTGTGGGCCACGACCCGTGCGAGAGGTGTGCCGAAGTAGGCGAGGGGTTCGCATGCCGCTCGGCGGCATGCGAACCTTGCCTCTGGGACCGTCCGTGGAAGTCCCTGCGGGCCACGATCCGTGCGAGAGGTGTGCCGAAGTAAGCCAGGCGACGCTACGAAGCTCCCCTCTGGTGCCGCAGATGCAGTTACGTGCTGGGCACGATCCGCGCGAGAAGCGTGCCACTATGCGAACCTTGCCTCTGGGGACACAGGTGGAGGTCCCTGTGGGGCGCGATCCCTTTGAGGGGTGTATCAGCATAGGCGGGGGGACTCTTAAGCCAAGCCTGTATCTGGAGCCGTCGGTGGATCTCCCTGAGCTGGACGATCCGCATGACACTGTGTGTCCTCCGCGGCCCGCTCTGACTGGACTCGCCGCTGGCGCTCTCGCCTGCGGCCGCTGACAAAAGTATCCCCGCCAGCTGCCACTGATGGCATGCGACACAGGTGCGCTGGACTGTTTGCGCAGCCCCGCGCGTTGCCACGCTCGGTGGCACGATTGCCTCTGGCGCCTGCCGCGACAGGGTACAACTCGTTCGTCTTCCTGGTGGTCTCGCTTCTGGGACGGTTGCACTTCGGCCGCCTGGCACACCTGGCAGTTCCTGCAGCCCGCCTTCAGCCCCCGGCGCCGCTCAGCGTCCCTCGGCGGCAGCTCTGGCAGCCGTGACTGCGCTCGCTGGAGTCGCCCGTAGCCCGGGACGACTTCTGACGCCGCCTGCGTTTTCGCTTGCGGCCGCGACCAAAAGTATCCCCACCAGCCCATCCAGAAACGATGCCCATGAGAGTTGACGGGGGGAGAGAGGACGAGACACGCGTAGTCAAACAGCGAAGGAGGCTTGGGAGGCTTCGTGGCCATCTCGAGCCGTCTTGGAGCGGTCTCGGGGCCGCTTGGAGCATCTTGGGAGCCATCTTGAGCCAGCTTCATCTTGGAGGTCATCTTGGGCTCCTTCGGGCCGTTCGTGGCCTCTAGGAGGCCTCCGGCGCCTCTTGGAAGCCTCTTGGGGCTTCTTACGTCGCTCTTTGGGCCTTCTCCGGAGCCTCTTGGGGGCCCTGGGGGGCCTCTTGGGGCCATCTTGGAGGCGGCCGGTCAAAAGAGAGGGGGTACTCGATGTTCGTTCCCGCCTCGGGGGCTGACGCTCCCATGGTCCGAAAAAGGACCCTCTGACACCTCGCGGGCCTCTCAAAAACCTCACGGAGGGGAAGGGGAGGATTCCCCTTCCCGACGGGAAGAGGGGTTGTGGAAGAGGAAAGAGACACTCCTTAGACCACCTGTCGCCCAAAGGGCTGGTGGGATTCGTCAATTTTCGGTACGTTTTTGAATGATTTGGGCATCTCGGCGGCATCCTTGGGAGGCTCCGTGGCCATCCGGAGCCGTCTTGGAGCGGTCTTGGGGCCTCTTGGGGCATTTTGGGACCATTTTGAGCCAGCTTGGACTATCTTGAGCCATCTTGAACATCATCGTGGGCTCTCTGCGGCAGCTTGGGGGCCATTCGGGTGCCTCTTAGAGGCCTCTCGGGGGCCTCTTGGAGCCCTCTTGGGGCCTCTTGGGGCGCTAGTGGAACCCGCTTGGGGGCCTCCGGGGAGCCCTGGAGGGCCTCTTGGGGCCATTTTGGAGGCGGCTGGTCAAAAGAGGGGGGTACTCGATGCTCGTCCCCGCCTCGGGGGCCGCGATCCTCGTGAGGGGTGGCAAAGAACGGCCCTCCCTATGGCCGAAAAAGGAGCCTCCGACACCTCGCGATCCCTCTCCAAAAAACCTCGGGGAGGGGAGGGGGAGGGTTCCCCTCCCCGAAGGGAAGAGGGGTCGTGGAAGAGGAAAGAGACCCTCCTTAGACCACCTGTCGCCCAAAGGGCTGGTTGGACTCAATACAACGCAATGCACATCAGTGCTAATCAATGCAAGGCAATGGAGAGCAAAGCGAACCACTGCAAATCAAAGGAAAGCAATGCAAGGCAGTGCACACCAGTCCATCTCAATGAACCAACACTGCCATGCAATGCAACGCCATGAAAACCAACGCACAGCAACACAACGCAATGCAACTCAATGCAAATCAACGCAACGCAATGCACAGCAATTGCAGCACGAGGCAACGCAATGCGCAGCAATGCAAGGCAATGCACAGCAGTGCAACGCAATGCAAAACAGTGCAAGTCAACGCCAAACAGGGCAAAGCCTCGTGAAGGGTTCTCCTGGTGGCCATCCGCGCCACCCCCCGCGCCACCTTGGGCCAGGGCCTCTTCTGGCAGCACCCGGCTATTCCTTTGCACGGCTGCGCGTAGCCTGTCGTGTTGTCATCGCCGAGCTGCCTGTGTTGGGCAGCGTTGTGCCCAGATCGCTTATGACGCGACGCGACGTCGATTAATTTTATATCGAGGGAGAAAACCGACATGGAAAGTAAACTCTCTGAGACCCGCGCGAATTCTTTGGGTCGGCGCTGGGCCCCCCGCCCCCGGCCGCGCGGGAGGGCCCCTGGCGCGCTCCGCGCGCCAGAGAGAGGGGGCCCAGTGCCGAGCGAAGAGACTCGCGCCAGCCTCCGATTGCTTATCCCCCGCATGCTGAGTGGGGTTCTTGTTCTCCTGAGACGCCCTCCGCTTCCTCCCGTCCCGCCTCTTCGTTGTGCTTCCACCACTCTTACTACGACTACTACTACTACTAGTAGTAGTAGTAGTACTACTACTACTACTACGACGACTACTACTACTACTACTACTACTACTACTACTACTACTACTACTACTACTACTACACTACTACTACTATTACTAGTACTACTACTACTACTAGTACTACTACTAGTACTACTACTACTACTACTACTACTACTACTACTACTACGACTACTAGTACGAGTACGAGTACTAGTACTTTTTCTATTACTATTACTACTACGACTACTCTTAGTAGTAGTCGTAGTAGTAGTAGTAGTAGTAGTACTACTACTATGATTATGCTACCACTATACTACTCCTATACTACTACTACTACTACTACTACTACTACTACTCTTACTACCACGTCTACTACTACGCTTACTACTACTACTACTACTACTACTACTACTACTACTACTAGTACTACTACTACTACTACTATTACTATTTCTACTAATACTACTACTACCATTACTACTTCTATTACTGCTACTACCACTACTATTACTACTACTACTACTACTACTACTACTACTACTACCACTACCAGTACTACGACTAGTACTACTACTACTACCACCACTACTACTACTACTACGACTACTACTACGACTACTACTACTACTACTACTACTACTACTACTACTACTACTCACTGACTAGTACTAGTAACTACTAACTACTAGTACTGTACTACCACTACTACTACTAACTCACGACTACTACTACTACTACTACTCACTACTCTCTTTACTACTACTATACCATTACTACTTAACTACTTGTCTACTACTCCTACGACTCCTCCTCCCCGAACTACTGCACTAACTACTACTACTACACCAACTACTACTACTACTACTACTACTTCTACTATCTACTGCCTACTACCTACTACCTACGACCTACGACCTACTACCTACTACTACTAGTACTACTACTACTACTACTACTACTACTACTACTACTACTACTACTACCACTGCTACTAGTACTACTACGACTACTACTACTACTACTACTACTACTACTACTACTACTACTACTACACTTACTACTACTACTACTACTACTACTACTACTACTACTACTACTACTACTACTACTACTGCTACTACTACTACGACTACTACGACTACTACGACTACTTACCACGTATACTTATACTCACACCTACTACTACTACTACTACTACTACTACTACTACTACTACTACTACTACTACTACTACTACTACTACTACTACTACTACTACTACTACTACTACTACTACTACTACTACTACTACTACTACTACTACTACTACTACTACTACTACTACTACTACTACTACTACTACTACTACTACTACTACTGCTACTACTACTACTACTACTACTACTACTACTACTACTACTACTACTACTACTACTACTACTACTACTACTACTACTACTACTACTGCTGCGACTCCTTGCCCCCGAGGGCAACATGCACTGACCCCGCCCCGCCTGTCAGGTCCCCTTACACCTTCGTTGTCGCGCCGTCGCGACGCCGACCGCGGGAACACTGCAAACTTCTGATTAAATATCGCGCCCGCCCTGGAGTCTGAATCGGTCCGTTCTTTTGCGGGACACGGGCCGAATCAGGGTCCAGAGTGGGCGTGGTCGTCTGCGTTGAGTTTCGCCGCTTTTCCGCGGGGGAGCGGTCCCGTCATGTTTTCGCGTTGTCTCGGTTCCGTTTTGGCGTCAGGGCGGGGGCGGCCCATTTCGGTTGATTCAGTCGCGTGTTTCTGTTTATTCGCTCTGGGTCTTGAGTCCGACCGATTTTTTGCAGAGAATCCTTGCAGTTTATTCAGACGCCACGCCCTCGACGCTCAGGAATCACGCTCACGCTGCGGAGTTCTTCAAGATTAATTGGGGAATCGCGCTATCGCTCAAGACTTTCCTCGCGACTCATGCAGGACGCTCGATTTAGCAACCCGCCTGCTCGACCTGGCCGTATTGGCCCGCCTCCCCGACCCGCCTGTTGGGGCCTTCCCGCCCGATTTGCGAGTCTGGTCCTGTCACGTGTTTTCTGCTCCCAGCCCCACTCCTGCTATTTTCTCTCGTGGTCCATCTTCCTCCCTCCCCCTTGTCCCTTCCTTACATCCGTCCTCTCTTTCCCTGCCTTAGAGGCTGCACGAAATGCACACCTTGCAGGTGAGAAATATACACCCCGAAGGGGGTACGATCGAAGACGAAGAGGGCGGGTATCGAGGTTTGGTTTGGGATATACGTGTTGAGTGGCACGCGAGCGGGGAAGAGCGAACAGTTCAAACTGATTGTTGGTAGTTGCTGTTGTTGTTGTTGCTGTTGTTGTTACTGTTGATGGTGTTGTTTTTGGAAGTTATAATTGCAGATTGCTGGAAACGGCTGTGCGTTCTCTCGCCTCGACGTTGGCTACATTTTCTCTGAAAACGAGGGTCGCGCGCGAGCGTTGGATTGAGTGTGAATGTGGGCCTTTGGAGGCCCAGCTACAACGACAATGGCCCCCGCTCGATACTACCTCACAATTTACCCCGAGACACCCTGGCCAGAGAGGCCCCCGAATTCATGAACGGCGTTCTCGCTCGAGATTTCTTCGCAATTCAGTCAAGTTGGCGGAGGCCCAGCCACGACGACAAGGGCTCCTGCTCGATACCTCCTCGCGATTTGCTCCGAGAGCCCCTGGTCAGGAAGGGCCCCCGAACTCAGGAACGGCGCTCTCGCTCGAGGCCTCTGTATTCGCAAAGGCCCTTGCCAGAGAGGCCCCCGAACTCAAGAGTGCTGCTCTCGCTCGAGACGTCCTCGTAATTCATGCAAGTTGGTGGAGGCCCCGACACGGCGATAAGGGCTCCCGCTTGATATTTCTCCATATGTATTCCGAGAGCCCTTGGCTAGAGAGGCCCCCGAACTCAGGAACGGCGCTCTCGCTCGAGAGTTCTTCGCACCTCAGTCAATGGCTGGCCGACAGTGAAGATATTCCCCCCGAAAGGGGGTGCAATCGAAGACGAAGTGGGCGGGTATCGAGGGTTGGGGTATACAGAATGCAAGACACCCGTGCCAGTAAGAGCGAACAGTCTTAAATTTATGGTTGTTCTTGTGGTTTATGTTGTTGTTATTGTTGTGGTTGATGTTGCTGTTGCTGGTGCTGATACTGTTGTTGTTTTTGTTGAACGTTCATGTATGGATATTATGCTTGTTGATCCCCCCAACACGTTGTGCCTTGATGTTTTCAATTGAGGTGCCCCTCCTGGAGTTTGCATCCTGTTCTTCTTTCACGCGGGGAAATCTTGAGCCTGAGATTGTGTCGTTGGCCCCTGGTTTACACCAACAACGGCTCCCGCATGATATGTCCCCACAAGTTTTTGAGCAATCGCGTTATCGCTCGAAATTCCCTTGCAGTTTATCCAGGAATCGCGCTCTCACGAATCGCTCTCTCGGCGCTCTGGAATCGGGCTCTCGCTCAGGATTTCTTCACAATTTAATGGAGAACCGCTCTCGCAGGAGATTCCCCTGCCATCCCCTTCTGCGAATGTCTCGGCGAGGCCAGCGCCAGAACATCTGGACCGTTCAGGAGCACCTGGGCTCACCTCGGGAAGCAAGACTGCGGGGCCGAAGGATGCACGGGGAAAGGACGTGCGAGCGATGCCAGACAACGCCATCGACGTGAACATTCGGAAGTCCGCGTGGATCTCGTGGGTCGGTGCCGGGCCCGCCCTGGCGGCGCCTCCAGCGCCGCTCCCGGCGCGCCCCGCGCGCAGATCCAAGAGATCCGCGCGGAATTCCGAGAGTTCATGTTTACGCAATGTTTTGTTCCTCCAGTTTTATGTCGGGCCTGTCCCTCTTTGGGGGGAACTCTCACAGATAGTCCAGACATTGCGCGCGGACGTTCCTTTCAATGGTAATGTTCGACTATTCTTGAATATTGTTTGGGTACGTTTTCATCTTTCCTCGAAAATCCGCCTGTAGTCGGGCGACGGAATCTATACATATCCACTGCCCCCTGGCCGGGCCCTCCCTGGGCCCAGTAGCGGTGTATACGCCCTCCTGGCCAAGCCAGGAGGGCGTGGCGTATACACTGCTGCTGGATTCAGGATGGGCCTGGTCAGGGAGCAGTGGATCTGTATAGATTTCGTCGCCCTATGTAGGGGGACAGGCCCTGCCTGACTCCAGTCTCCGTGCCGTCGCACAGTCCGCGAGCGGCGCCCCGCTCGCTCGAGCCGTCGCCCTATGAGCCCCGCGTCGCATCCAAGTCGAGCGCCTCCACTGGCCTTACAGGTTGTGGAGGCTGCTGCCTTGGCCAGACACGCACGCAGGCGCGCGATCCTGGACCGCTGGGGCGGATCGCCATACGTGCCATCCATTTTATTCCTCCTCCCCTGCCTCCTCCTGCCTCTGTGCATTCGAGGCATCCCGCGCTCGTCTGTCACTGTATGAAGAGGTTTGATGGGTCTTGATGGCTGGGAAGTGCCATCGGTTTTGATGGCCCCGCCCCGCGGTCGAGAGGACCCTCGGGGGGGCTCACCGAAATGCCATCGGCCCTTTTCGTCTTCAGCCGAGGGCTGAAACATTTGCCATCGTTTCTGATGACCCCTTCTTCGGTTTCAAGCCCCAGGGTGGGCACGTGGGAGGCGACACGCCCGAGGGCGATCGCCCCCGCCGCGCGCACTGCAATCCGCATTAGAGCATCCAACCAAGAAAAACGACTA